GGGTTTGATTCCCAGCATCCCATATGGTTCCCTGAGTACTGCCAGGAGTAACTCCTGAGTGCATCGCCAGGAGTAACCCCTGTGCATCGCCAGGTGTGACCCAAAAAAGAAAAAAAAAAAGTAGGTAAAGGGATATTCTTGATAACCTCTCAGTATCAATATTGCAAACCACAGTGCCCAAAAAAGGAGGGGGAGGGGGAGACAGAAAGAGGGAGCGAGACAGAGAGAGAGAGAAGAAAAGCGCCTGCCACACAGGCAGGCAGGAGATAGAGGGGTGGGGAGGTGATAGGAGGAAACCTGGGGACACTGGCAATGGGAAATGTACACTGGTGGAGGGATGGGTATTGGAATACTGTATGACTAGAATACAATCATGAATAGCTTTGTAAGAGTCTATCTCACAGTGATTCAATTAAAAAGTCAAAAAAAAGGTGCGCATATGCTGCCTTAGCCCATGTGCTGCTTGCGCCCACGTGGCCGAGCACATGTGGGCTTAGCACACGTGTCGCCTGCGTCTCCCCTCTTGAGATGTGTACTTTCATGTCTAATGCTAGGATGTGTGTAGGGGCTCTCTCCGCCCATGGAGAAGCCCATGTTCTCTCTTGAGTACGTTACTCTCACTCTCTCTCCCTCCATACCTAAAAATCCTCCAAAAAAAAAAAAAAGTTAAAAAAAAAGGAGGCTGGAGCAATAGCACAGCGGGTAGGGCATTTGCCTTGCACACGACCAACCTGGGTTCGATTCCCAGCATCCCATATGGTCCCCCGAGCACTGCCAGGAGTAATTCCTGAGAGTATGAACCAGGAGTAACCCCTGTGCATCACCGGGTGTGACCCAAAAAGGGAAAAAAAAAAAAACCCTAGACAAAGCAATAGTACAGCAGGTAGAGCGCATGCCTTGCATATAGCTAACCCGGGTTCGATCCCCAGCATTCCATATGGTCTCCTGAACACCGCCAGGAGTAATTACTGAATGCAAACCAGGAGTAACCCCTGAGCATCGCCAGGTGTGACCCAAAAAAGCAAAAAAAAAAAAAAAAAAAAAAAACCTTACATTGTTTTTGTTTGCATGTTTCTGGGCCACACCCAGCAATGCTCAGGGGTTACTCCTGGTGGGCTCAAGGGACCATACAGGGTACCACCAGAGGTTGAACCCAGGTTGGCAGAGTGCCAGTGTGCAAGGCAAGCACCTTCCTCACAGTACTATGGCTCTGGTCCTCTGGTCCCTAGAATCTTTCTTTTTGAACTAGCCACCTGGCCAGAGCTTACAAGCTATTTTCAGTTAATCAGTCTCTGGGTTTTCGTTTATTTCATTCTGTCTTTTTAGGTCACACCCAGTGATGCTTAGGGGTTACTCCTGGCTCCACACTCAAGAATTACACTGGGTCAACTGACAGCACAAAAAAGTCACAATTTAAAAGCTTCTGTGCATAGTGCCTTGGCCTTATGGATCTATGTCATTTATTTTGTTGTTGTTGTTTTGGGACCATACCTAAATGGTGCTCAGGACTGAGTTCTAGCTCTACACTCAGGAATCATTCCTGGAGGTATTTGGGGGCATTATGGTGGGTCCAGGGATCGAACCCAGGTTGGCCATGTGCAAGGCAAGCACCCTATCTGCTGTACTATCACTCCGGCCCCTTGATGCTATTATTTCTTTAAATAAAGTAGACATTCCCTCTGGAGTTCAAATTGCCCTAAACATGGTGTGCTCTCTAGAATTTTATTTTCTTCATTTATTTAATTTTGGTGAAACAAGAAACTTGATTAATCTAATTTAGAAAGATATAAGCCAAGTGTAAGAGAAAAGTATGAGCTCAAAGAAAAAACCAGGTTTCTCCAGAACAGAAACAGGAAAGCAAAGAAACAAAGACAAGCAAGGAGATAAGTATTCAAGGGAGAACATGTTCTCTAGAATTTTAAATGCTGGCAAGTAATTTCAAGAAGCTTAAACGACTGTGGACCAGAGCAATAACAAGCAGGTAAGGAAGGGATGGAGCAATAGTACAGCAGGTAGGGCATTTACCTTGCACATGGCCGAACTGGGTTTGATCCCCAGCATCCCGTATGGTCCCCCAAGCACCACCAGGAGTAATTCCTGAATGTAGTGCCAGGAATAAACCCCTGTGCATCACTGGGTATGGCCCAAAAAAGCCAAAAACAACTGAAATTTAAAAAAAAAAATAAAGCAAGCAACAGGTTTGCCTTGCACATAGTCTGCAACTGATTCAACCCCCGCCATCCAATCAGGTCCCCAAAGCTTGCCAAGAGTGATCCCTGAGCACAGAGCCAGGAGCAAGCCCGAAGCACAACTAGGTGTGGTCCAAAAAAATAAAAACAAAAAACTTGGGGCTGGAGAGATAGCACAGCGGACAGGGCATTTGCCTTGCACGCAGCCGACCCAGGTTCGATTCCCAGCATCCCATATGGTCCCCTGAGCACTGCCAGGAGTAACTCCTAAGTGCAAAGCCAGTAGTAACCCGTGTGCATTGCCAGGTATGACCCAAAAAGAAAAAAAAAGAAAAAAAGACTGCATGAGGGCACCAAGTTTTCTGTCTGATCTCTTCAGCAGTGCTGGAGAGCAAGGGGGAGCAGAGGAGCCACTTCCAGTGTAGTGATACTAGGACTGCCTGCGCCTGTCTGAGGGTTCATTGCTCAGGCCTACATGCTTAGGGGTACCAGGAATGTCCAAGGGGCCATGAGGTACTAGGAATCCAACCTGGAGACTCAAATTCAAACCAGACATGCCGGCCAACCCTTTGAGCTATTTCCCTAGTGCCACCTCATTTTTCAACCGCACCCCCAGGCTATGCTGAAGGTCCTTTTATATATGGTTATTTCCTCCTCCAATTCTGAGAACCATGATCCATCATCAGAGTCAGGGATCAAGCCATAGCCAGAATGCTGTAAGCCAGGGCTGGAGAGATAGCACAGTGGGTACAGGTAGGGCGTTTGCCTTGCACGCGGCCGACCCGGGTTCAATTCCCAGCATCCCATATGGTCCCCTGAGCAATGCCAGGAGTAACTCCTGAGTGCAGAGCCAGGAGTAATCCCTGTGTGTTGCCGGGTATGACCCCCCCCCAAAAAAATAAAAGCAGAATGCTGTAAGCCCCAGAGCCCGGCACCCTCACCACCCTGGAGTCAGTATTGGAGGGTACAAGAAACATCCCCACTGGAGGGCGAACAAGACATCCACAGTTCGCTGGGTGAAGAATCAACTCCTAATACCCCCTTACTCTGCACTTCCCCATCTTAGTCAATGGCCATACCATTATTCAGTTACTAAGGCCAAAACCCTGGAGCCATCTTTGCATTCTTCAGCATTCTACCTCTCACAGTTCCCCCTGCCACAGCCTCCAGAAGACACCTGGATGACTTATTTGACCCCTTCTCTAACTCATGTCACCCCAATTTATGTTCCAGATTTTTTCTTTTTGGTTTTTTGGGCACTGATCAAATAATTCCTGGTAGTGCTCAGTGGACCATATGGGATGCCAGGGATCGAACCTGGGTCTGCCTCATGCAAGGCAAATGCCCTACTGCTGTACTACTGCTCCTGCCCCTGCAAACACTTTTTTTTTTCCTTTTTCAGGGGAGAGTGCAAAAGCAGATTCTTGGGATTCTATCTAGGGCCTTATTTGCCACCTCTGCCTACATCACTTTGTTCTCCAGAAGGAACCTTTAAAAAATTTTTGTTCCCTTTTTGGGTCACACCTGGCGATGCACAGGGGTTACTCCTGGCTCTGCACTCAGGAAATTACTTCTGGTGATTCTCGGGGGACCATATGGGATGTTGGGAATCAAACCCGGGTTGGCCTCCTGCAAGGCAAATGCCCTTACCCGTTGTTGCTATCGCACCAGCCCCTAAAAAAATTTTTTTTTAGGCAGAGCCGATCTGGATTGGATCCTGGGAATCCCATATGGTCCCTCAGCACTGTCAGAAGTGATCCCTGTGTGCAGAGTCAGAAGTAACTCCGGAACATCGCCGGATATGGTCGAAAAACCCAGAAGAAAAATAAAAGAGAGATTTCACAGAAGGGGGTCGGAGTCATAGTACAGCGTTAAGGGCGCTTGCCATGCAGACGCTCCAGATGGGTTCCATCCCCAGCACCCAACACGGTCCCCTAAGCACAGAGCGAGGAGTAAGCCCCAAGCACTGCTGGGTGGCCCCAAAACAAAACCGAAAAATTAACCATAAGTAAAGCCCAGGGGCTGGCGCGATAGCACAGCAGGTAGGGTGTTTGCCTTGCATGCAGCCGACCCGGGTTCGATTCCCAGCATCCCATATGGTCCCCCGAGCACCACCAGGGACAATTCCTGAGTGCAGAGCCAGGAGTAACCCCTGTGCATTGCGGGCGTGACCCAAAAAGAAAAAGAGAGAGAGAGAGAGAGAGAGAAACCCAATCACATCACACCCCCGGCTCCCCGGATACTTTCACAAGAGCCGCCCCCCTGGAGTTGCCTCCCGCCACCCCCTCCCCCAGACCTGACCCTCGCAGCCGCCCGGCACTCCTAGGCCCTCCAGACCCCCTGAGACTTGACATGACCCCCCCCCGTACTTCCCGTGAGGCCCACTAGCCCCGCACCTCAGGAGCCCCGAGTTCCGCAGCTTGGGGCTCGCCGGGGTGACCCGCCTCCCCAGAGGCCCGCGAAGAATGAATGAGCCTCGCCCCCTTTCGAGCCTCGCCGGTCCTCCCCGCGCCCCAAGCCCGCAGTCCGACCGAAGCCCGTTCGCATGGCTCCTCCGACCCTCCGTTCGAGTCCTGGTCCCTCAGGACCCCTGAGCCGCACGCCCACCGGACTCCACTGCCTCAGCGCGGTTCCTACAAACACCCCCAAAGCCACACCTCCACGCCTCTGAGGAGCCCCCCACCCCGGAACGGGGCCTCATTCCCGCCGCCCGTCTTCCCCCGGGACCCTCCGGTGTCCCTCGGGCCGCCTCAGACCAGACGCCCCCCGAGCCGAGCCCCTCAGCGGCCACGCAGCCGCGCCGGCCCTGACCGTTTCTGGGCCTCCAAGCCCCAGAGGCGTATCTGCCGATCATACTGCGCCGCCTCCTCCTCGCTGATGCCGCCGCCCGTCTCTTCCTTCTCCACCATGGCGCCGGGTCGCTCGGCCTCTGCTCGGTCCCGCTCACGCAAACCGCCCGGCCTCCAACCGCTGCCGCCGCCGCCGCCGCCCGCGCGCCCCAGCGTCGTCTGCGCCTGCGCCAGGGCCCGCACCTGCGCAGTGTCTCCTCCGCGGCGGTAAAGCCGGCCGGCGGCGCCAGGAACCACGAGGATCTCGTGGGTCGCCTAGGCAGCCGGCTCGTGCCGGATCACGTGACGGCGTATCCAGCCAATCCTGAGCCAAACATGGAGGCGCTTCGCGCCCCACGGGAAGGCCCACGTGGTGGCCTCAGCGGCCGGCATTAATTCCTCAGAATTCGTAGGAGCTGAATTCCGTGCGGGTGAGGGGGGGGGGCATTTCGTGACATGAAGTGGCCAATCAACTAAGCCAAGTCGTGCCCTCGAGGAGTGCCCATTCTATGGAGGAGGAAGTCCCAAAGGAAAATATACTAAAAGTAAATTAAAAGCTCAATATAGGACTGCTGAGTGGCCAGCGAGGGCCAGGGGACGTAGTACAGCGTAGGGCACTTGTGGTGCACACCGCCGACCTACGCGCGTTTAGCACAACATATGGTCCCCTGAGCTCACCTCGAGTGATTCCTGAGCATAGTCCAGTAGGAATGGACGAAAAAAAATTTAGTAAAAATTTCTTAACAGTGGGACTGGAGCAATAGCACAGCAGGTAGGGCGTTTGCCTTGCACGCAGCTGACCCGGGTTCGATTCCCAGCATTCCATATGGTCCCCTGAGCACAGCCAGGTGTAGTTCCTGGGTGCATAGCCAGGAATAACCCTGTGCATCACTGGGTGTGACAGAAAAAGCAAAAAAAAAAAAAAATTCTAACAGTGCTCCAGGGATGATGTGGAGCCAACGATTAAATCTGGATCAATCCAGATCAAATAATGCTTGCCAGTCCTCTTACTCATGACTCTGGCCCCGGAACTGTACATTCTGTTTGGTTGGTTGGGGGAGCACACCTAGAGGTGTGTTGGGGTTAACTCCTGGCTTTGCACTCAAGACGGGATTTGGGGACCATATGTGGTACCAGGATGGAATCTGGGATGGCAGTATTCAAGGCACATACCTTACCTGCTATACTGTCATTCTGGTCCATAGAACTATACACTTTAAATGCCTAAATTGTATTATGTGTGAATATCTCAGTAATTTTTTTCTGTAATGTATTTTTTAAAGGTACTGGAGAGATAGTACAGGGGGTTAGGTGCTTGCCTTAACTCCCCAGGTGTTGCCTAGTGTGGCCCAGAAACAAAAATAAGTAAGTAAATGAAGACACAGATGGGCAACTTTTACTTCCTATAATTTAGGACACTTACTTTCAGTTCCAAAATGCCCATGGTGGGGGCTGAAGTGATAGCACAGTGGGTAGGGCATTTGCCTCGTGTGCTGCCACCCAGGTTTGATTCCCAGCATCCCTATGGTCCCTCAAGCACCTCCAGGAGTAATGCCTAAGTGCAGATCCAGGAGTAACCCCTGAGTATTGCCCGGTGTGACGCAAAAAGTAAATAAATAAAAATAAAAATGTCTATTATGGGGCCAGAAAGAAAGTAGAATAAGGCAATTGCCTTGCATGCAGCACACCTGAGTTCCACCCTTTGCACTGCACATCGTCTCCTGAGCCCAGAGCCAGAAGTAAGTCCTGAGCACAGCTGGTTGTGGCCCAAACACCAAAATCAGAACAAATAAACAAAGCGCATGAGTACATGGAGGGGGTATGGTGCCACCAGCAGGTCAGTCTGTACCTGTGAGGCCAGTGCATCAGCAGCCTGATGGCACCTTCAGACTTCCAGATACCCCAAAATTGCTGCTGTGCCTTTGGCCAGACCCCAGAAACTTGGGGCAAAGTTTACCAAGAAAGTAAACGGCCAAAAGTTAGGTATGTGGGAGACACACCCACAAACCACCTCCAGCTCAGCTGTCTACTTGGAGGCATGGCCTCTCTGGTTCCTGATCAAACTGCTTAACGGCCATAATCCCAGAGACTCAGAACAAATCTCGAAACCCAACGGCTTTTGGCAGAAATGCGTCCAGTCCCTGCAGTAGGTTACTGGCACTGGGCCACCCCAGGTGGGAATAGGTTTTGTGCCTTGGCCTGTTACCCCTGGCGGCCCAGGGGTCACCCTCCTCCAGAGGTCAGGTATGGGCCCACAGTGACGAGACACGTAAGGCCTCACGGGATGTGGGTGGAACCGGCCCTTTCTTCCCCATCCCAACGAGACCTTGAGTCACCGCCCACGAACGGCCTCTCTGGCTCCTGATCAAGCTGTTTAATGGCCATGATCCCAGAGACTCAGAAACAAATCTTGAAACCCAACAGCTTTTGGTAGAAATGCACCCGGAACGCGCAGTAGGTTACTGTCGCCGGGCCACCCCAGAGGGAAAATGGTGCTGTCCTTCGCCTGCTCCCCCAGGCAACTCAGTGGCCGCCATCCACCAGAGGCCATTGGACAGTCTGGTTTGGGCCAGCAGTAACGAGACAGGCAGGGCCTCATGGGACGGGGTGGAGCCAGCCCTTTCCTCCCCATTCCAATGAGACCCCAGGTCACCGCCCACAAACAGCCTTTCTGGCTCCTGATCAAGCTGCTTAACGGCCATGATCCCAGAGACTCAGGAACAAATCTTGGAATCCAGCAGGTTTTGGCAGAAATCCCTCCAGATTTAATTGTTAAAATTTTGGAATTTCAAAATCGCGCTGCCACTACTGCAGCCACGCGACATCATATGTTATTCATAACCAGCAATAGAAAACAAACTGTCTACTCTTGCCTTTTCAGCATATCCGAGTGTTGGGTAAAATCCCAAATAACAATGGTGGGTCTGATGTCAAAATATTGAATGTAATCAGAGTAGAGAGAGAGTAATGTGGAAATCATCTACCACACAGGTAGGGGGAGGGTGTGGGATGGAGGTATACTGGGTTTTTTGATAGTGGAGAATGGGCACTGGTGAAGGTGCAGATGTTTCATTCAATAAATAAAATTATAAAAAATGAAAAAAAAAAGTAAGGTGGAGTTCATGCCCAATTCAATCAGCTAATCAGTGGCTGAATAAATAGCAGTACTCCTACATAAAAAAAAAAAATTACATGGAAAGGTCCACCTGGAGCAGAACCAAAGTTCCTGACCGACAGACAACTGAACCAACAGACAGGGCAAAAACCGGAAGCATACCAGAAGAGGATCCTCTGGTGGCTGGTCAGGTGCCCCACAGGAGCAGAGACAAGCCTTTCCAGCCTGGTCCTGCAAAGGGCTGACCTATTAATAAAATTAATTCTTTCTCTTGGGATCACTCTCTACACAGTATTAAGCAACCTAAACTTATGACTCTCTCCTGCATCTCTTTATGTTTGTTTTTATTTGGGGGTCACTTCTGAGGTTAATCAGAGGCTCTTCCTGGTTCTTTGTTCAGGAGTGAACACTGGCAGTGCTTGAGCAAATACATGCAGTGCAGGAATTTAAACCTGAGGCTGCGGGGCTGGAGCAATAGCACAGCGGGTAGGGCGTTTGCCTTGCATGCGGCCAACCCAGGTTCGATTCCCAGCATCCCATATGGTCCCCCGAGCACTGCCAGGAGTGATTCCTGATTGCAAAGCCAGGAGTAACCCCTGAGCATCGCTGGGTGTGACCCCCCCAAAAGAAAAAATAAACCTGAGGCTGCCTGGGAGACAAGTGCCTCAACTCCTGTATATGTGTCCTGCCCTCCTCAACACTCTTGATTCACACTTCTCTAATTTTTATTTTTCTTATTTTTTTTTACTTCATATATATATAATTTTTTCTTTTGGTTTCTGGGGTACACCCATGATGCTCAGGACTTAGCTCTGCCTCTTTGTTCAGGGATCACCCCTCATGGAGCTTAGAAGATCATATGCAGTGCCATGATCAATCCAGGGTCTAATGCATGCAAGGCAACCACTTATCCACTGCATTTTGTCTCTGTCCCCTTTCTAATTGTTTTTCTCTTTTGTTTTTTGGGTCACATTCAGCAATACTCAGGGCTTATGCTTTATTTTGCATTCAGGAATCACTCCTGGCCATGCTCAGGGAACCATATGGAATGCCACAGATCCAACCCTGATCAGTCACATACAAGGCAAACACCGTATTCACTGAATTATCTCTCTAGCCTCCCTTGCTAAGTTTTCACCCTGTTTCCATCCCACCCCATTCTTTCTTCCCCTTCTTTCCCAGCCCCAGTTCTTCCTTCTTCTCAGAAGAGAAAAGCTCCACTCCAGCTAGCTCCCATATTGACATTCTCTAGCCAGGTGTGGGCTGGAACGATAGCACAGCGGTAGGGCGTTTGCCTTGAAAGCGGCCAACATGGCCGACCCGAGTTTGATTCCTCCGCCCCTCTCAGAGAGCCCGGCAAGCTACTGAGAGTATCTCGCCCGCACGGCAAAGCTGGCAAGCTACCCGTGACGTATTCAATATGCCAAAATGTAGTAACAAGTTTCACTATGGAGACGTTACTGGGCCTTCTTGGCCAAGTTTGTGTTGATAAGGACACCGACGCCTCCAACACCTCTTTTATCGCATGTTCCGAGGAACAATTCTTCTCCAGTGTCGAAAACGGCATGGTGAGATTCGTGCCTTCTTGTCTTGGTCAGACCAATGATGTCGTACTTGATCATTCGCGCTTGTACCATCAGGTCCTCGATGGATGCATCTGATGCTAGCGTACGTGCATTGAAAGTACAGACGATCATTTTTGTCTTCCTTCGTTGTGGCAGCCTAGGTCGGCCTTGAGATTTTGTCGGCCTCTCCTTTTTCATCCTTCTCAGTGCTGCCATGTCGGTGAAGCCTTCAGGGTCAGGTGAATGAGACCAGTTGTAGTTACTGGTTTTGGCATATCGAATAGCTAGACACAACGGATAGCTTGCCAGGCTCTTCCGTGCGGGCGGAATACTCTCGGTAGCTTGCCAGTCTTTCCGAGAGGGATAGAGGCTTTTGGGGTGACCTCTAATCACCATTGTAGGTGTTACCATATTTGAACCCTATCAAATGTGGTACGACAATTCCGGAAGATGGGTATTTAGTGTCTTATGATGTATC